TTTAGCGTTTGTGCTGTCACATATTTTGCGACACGCTACTAAATTAATATCTGTATTACTAAACTAAAATTAGTGCCAATCATGGGTTTGTTTAACTGCGGAGGAAGATTTTATCATGTGACTAACTTATCTGATTCATCGGATCAGCTTGCCGTAACACCCTGGAGTTGTCAAAGCCCAGCTGGTTGCCAATGGTGCTTATATGTTGAAAGTTAGAAAAGCAAGTATTTCTGAAATCACCAAATAAATTAAACCCTTTTCCATCCTAGTGCTAACCCCTCCTCCTTTGAACTACAAAAGACAAGAGTATCTTTGTCATAATATCCGCCCATTTGTTAGAGACGAATGCAAAAACTTTACTTGTCCCAAGCCAATATAATTTTCATAATGTATTAAAATATAATATTATATTAAAGACATAACGATTTCTTATGATAAAATAGAGAATATGAAAACCAAGAATGGTTAAGACATAGAACCAAGTATGATCAAGAATATCTGGATAATATTGATAAGTATAAAAGTTCAGTTAAACCCTTAATTTCAGTTGGCAAAACTTAAAAGAAAAATTAGTAATTGAAACCTTTCCGAAATTAACTAGTTTGACATTGAATGTTGGCAATAATGAACTAGATGAATTAGAGATTATTAACTGTCCCGAATTAAAAAAAGTTATTACAAATAAAAGATTGTCTGGGAGTAAAAGAGTTCTATAATCATAATAACCGACTTACTGATTTAGATGTTAGTGAATTGACTAACTTAAAAATACTCTCTTGTTCGGACAATAAATTAATCAATACTAACAAAATAAGGTTAGATAGTTAGGTTTACCAACTGAAGGAGATACCGAAATTAGTACTTTAACTAATAACTAGTAATAATTTGATTGATAATCCTGATATTACCGGTAGATAATTGTAAATTAGATGAATTGGTGATAGAGAATTGTCCTAATTTAGAATTATTATCTTTTCGGCATAATAAAGTTAATGGAATAAAGTTAAGTGAACTAGCCAGACTAGAGAGTTTGTATTGCTCAAACAATCAATTGGTTGAACTAGATTTAAGTAATAATTCGTCTTTAAAACATCTGTGTTTGATAATAATCCTATTGAAAAATTGGAATTAAACATTTAGAGAATTTGGAGAGTATTTATTGTTTTAGGAGAATTAGATTGTAGTGGGCTTAAAAAATTAAAGGGATTCATTGTGCAAATAATTTCTTTGTTTGTGAGTTAGATGGTGAAGAAGAAGAAGTTAGTGTCGTGCCGACTACTGCGGGAGAGCAGATAGTAATCGACACTTGGGATTTAGCTAGTATCGACGGAGCGTGGCGCCTCCTCCTTCTAGTTAAATATCTGGTTTACAGTTAGTGACCTCGTTAATTCAAGGCTTTTTACTTACGAACTATTTTGTCGTAGAATGACGCAAATTCTAGATATATTAATCGTACTCGAGTATATCATTAATCCGATAATCTCCCGTTCGGGGTACATGATTTATAAGTAAAAGTAAACGCGTTTTTAAATAACGATTAATTATCTTAATTCGCCACTCAGATAATTGCGGGACAAGAGGCAATTATCCTTCGTTGATATACGGATTTAACGGTTTCTCAGATAGTAGTTCGACTATTTGCTCGTATCACCAATACAGCATATCAGACATTTGTATTATTGGTCAATTCCAATTTCATATGAACTTTGATATGATTGGCTGATCAAAACACTACTGTCAACGAGTCGCGGGTTATGTACAGACTCTCCATTCACTCCATCGGCGACAGTAATTAAGGGAAGTATTATTTTTAGTATCTTTTCAGACGTGCACGCGCCTCTTCCTGTTGCATGGGGATCGCCAATCCCGCCTGGCAGTTCAACACGAAGGGCGGACTATTGGCCGGACACCAACATTGCCTGCTGGCAGTCCCTTGGTCATAAGGTAAGGATGCTGGACGTGAAATAACCCAGGGTTTACATGCAAATCTTCCGTGTTCAACACACGTGTAAGAGAAGAGGTTGCGGATAGGCCTGCTTGTAGGAAAGCATTCAGTTTACGTTGCTTGAGGTCTCCAACTCTCATCCAAATTATTCAACACGCTTTGGATGTTTTGTTGAAGTGACAGAGATTACCTGCAAACGTTATGTATTCAACATACATGATGCAACAGAACAGCTTACCCCTATATGACGGGCTCAAAGATTGTTAGTAAATGGCTATAGGTTATCTAGATGCTAACCAACCTGTTACTCTTTTGAATGGAGTGCCACAAGGAACAGCAGCATTGTTTGGCCAAAGACATGGATATATTGATTATGGATGTCGAAGGAACGAATGGACGTGAATGTGGCAAAGATCAAGACTTTGGGCGGAGGAGTGCTCCATTCTCAATGGGCTACATCCAGTCAATCAATAGGAGCATCAAGTGAGTTTATCATCTCTCATTCCTAATGATGCATGCAGAACTACTTACGATCGAGTTCTTGTTACAATATATTTTCTAAAATGGCTTGCAAATAATGCTTCGGTAATACATCTGTAAAGGCGTTTAACACTCACAGCACAAAGACTTTCGAACTCACCGCACACACCCATCTCGAGCCAAACAAAGAAAGAAGCTGCTTTGATAGAGCGTAAAAGGACGCCGTGAACACGCGTATTTACAAAATAAAATGAAGCGAATCATTTATTCTTCGAAGGGATTTGCAGCATGAACGATCGTTAAACCAATTTAACAAGCATTCTAAATACATAAAACATCCCACGACTTTCCATTGGATGGAAATTAAACTAGAAGCGATTTGCCCAATAACCTTTAATAAAATACTAAATTTGTCATCAGGATTTAGTTTTTTCGAGTTGAGAGGCAAGTCCAGAAACAGTTATCCTAAATATTCATTCCAGCTTCATCGTTGCATCATATCATTGCATTTCTTACCAAAATTGCATACGTCGAGCTTAAAATGGAAGAGGCAGAGCAACAGTTAGCAATCGCCGTTTAGGTAAGACCTGCAGGTTAACAAAGCAGCATTCAGATTATCTATATCCAGCCTAAAGCCTCAATAACATAACACACGCAAAAGATGTGAGAATAACAGGGTAGGAAAGGATAAATAATCGGCTATAGTTTCTTGGTCTGTCGCCCTTTTCGTTTTTTTGGTGTAGAAAATTCTTTCACTCGGCCCGGCACCAAGATCGAGTCCTCACCATTCCGATCACTCTCTGCTTTCTCCTTCAGCTGCGTGAAGCACTCGATAGTTGACCTTAAAATTTTCTGCCAAAGAAAAAGAACGCAAATAAACATAAAAACCAATACTCGCTTTCTGATACTGCATTAACTGCAAATACACCACCTTAACTTGTAACATGGTTCGCGCCATCTTTATGATTCCACTCAGATCGTTATAGGTTGTTGGTATGTCAAACTCCGCCAGTCTGATTGAGACGTGATATCCGCCGCCAACATACATGTCCAAAAGTACACGGATGAAATAATTTGACGAGACGAATCCAGGCATCAAAAATTTGTTCAACCCTTGCGCGACCGTCTTCGAAACCGCTCCACCGCCTGTTTCAACGAGGGTATCGATTAGAGTACGATGCATATCCCGGATTGTTTTCTGAACCTTAAGATTATTGTCTAAAATCTTTTTGCCATTTTCTATCTTGGAACCTGCCCTTTCACATAAGGAGAATTCCTGTCCCCATGTCAAGTCTTTGGCTATATCATGGCGCTGAGAGTAAGAATCTGTTAATAATCATCACATCAAGATTAGCTAGTACAAATTACATGGACATACAGTGAAGAGCCAGTCCAGGTGATATCCTTCTGCTTCAGACGAAGCATCCACTGCATTCATCCGGCGACTCCTAGAAGCTCTAGATACTACTTCACCACTAATATGAGGAGATCAATGAGCATTAATGATGATGTGCATCAAACCTTACAACTGAACTCACAAATGCCTATCCAAAATCTCATCAAGACAGGAGAATATATGTGACTTTATGAAAATATCGATGTCCCGTTCAGAGTTTTTGCGGTTGGGGATCCCTTTGCTGATCATTTCGTATCTGGTTAAAGTTACGTCAAAAAGGTATGTTAAGAAGGGAGCAAAACTATCAAAGCTGGCATATCAGGATCATACTTACGTGAAACGCAGCAAGTCAATAACATAACATACATCATTATCTCTGTAGTATCCTTTATCAAGAATATCATTAATCCCATTGTCATCAAGGGAATTTTGTACAAGGAATGGATTCTTGTCTTCTTTCTTTTCCAATAGGTTTTGCAACTCTTTGAGTGTTCCATAAACTCCATGAAATTTCACAGACTTTGCAACCTTCCTCAACCTTTCCTTTTTCAACTGGAAGACAAAATAAGAATTATACAAATTAAAAGTAAAAATTTTGACTTTCCACCAACCTTTGACAGTGACTGCAAACACATCTCAACTGGGTCACCCAGTTTAGTCCAATCCAGGCTTTGCAAAGCTGAGATGATTGTGCTTCTGACCTCCAATAGCTCCACCTTTGTTAAAATGTTGGGAGCCAAACTTGGATCTGACACATCAATAATGCGCCACCATATGGGCCTATGGAAGTTTAGTTAAGCTTTTATATTGTGGAGGACCCAAAAAGGAAGATTCCAAATACTTACATCAACATTGCTTGGTGTCTTTTTTCAGAATCTGTCTGTGAAGTCAACAGTTGATAATAGTCATCAATTTTTTCAAGCCAGGTTGGCACAGCCTGTTCAAATTCCCCAGACTTGCTTGATTCGATAATAATTATTAGAAATATTTGTTTGCTCCTCATAAAAAAAAGTGGATAAGAATGTGATTATTATGATAAAAAACTTGAATATTGACCTTATACTTACTTGGTTTGTTTGTTCCAGATTATCAACAGATAGACTGAGCTGCATTGGCAAACCAGTGAGGGAAAGCAATTTCAGTGTACGTTTGTGATTGTTTAACTTGTTTAAAAGCTCACTTACCTGAAAAGAATCATCAATTTCATGACTCAAATCCTATAATGATAAGAAAGCAAGATCAGCATTACAAAATGTCTTATAAATCACATTAACAGTATAAAAAATTACAGGGCTATCAGCATAAATAGCTGTTCTTCGATTTGCTCTGTGATCAATTGTTGCACATTGAAACTCTTCTCGTGTCTTCTTGGTTATTTTTCGTCTTTTCTGAAGCAGAGTGTTATTATATAATCAGTAAAACAAGCATGTAACTCTTTGACAATGCAATATTTCTTGCTCACTGTTGCATCTTTTTTTGCTGCTTCTAACAGACTGTCTCCAATGATTTTCAAACATTCAGATTTCTAATAAGGTTATTATTATGTGGATGTCAGTCTACTATATTGTATATGAAGTCAACGCCATGACACAATAAACAATAAAAACATACGACTGTTTTTTTGAGAACACCGGCAACATATTCTACCACCTTCTTATTCACACCTTTGGTATTCGTTATGGCCTGAAGACTTTGAATGTATTCGTTGAATACTTGTTCTGCTGTCTTCGTAGGGTTCTTTTTATATGCTACTTTTGCAAAAGCGCGAACATTACTCCATCGGAATAATGGTGTTACAGCAAAAAATCCATTGATTCTAGTGTGTGGGTGGCAAAGCTCTGTTTTCAGTACAAACTTATTAAGTTTCTCCATATATCTGAATAAAGAGGTAATCCCAATAACAAATTTTGGCGAGCGCGTATGTTGATCAGATGAGCAAGTCACGTGATAAAATCTCAAATTTGCAAAAGTTTCAAAAGTTTCCGTTTTATTCGATGTACTATGAGCATAATGACTGACTATATGCGAACAAATAGATACCAAAGCTCCTGCGAGCGCTAGACATAAACCCTTCCTTGAGGTCATGCTAGAGTTCTATTTCATTCAAATAGTTAATCAGAGAATAAACGAGACAAATATTTCGTCTTACGAAAATATCGCGCATTAGTATTAGTGATCGATTATTAATCAAATCACGTCATATACATAGTCACACAGAACATAGCATCGGTCATCGGAAATCCTGTGCTTAATTCCTAGCCAGAATAAATCTTAGTACTAGTTAAGAATTCATACAAATTATGAGATATTACTATTTATTTCAAGCGCTTTATTTATACTGTAAATTTTAAAGTACAACTCCATAATTAATGCATTACACTAGATATGTTTGCATAAGTCATTGATTATAACGACTTGGTGAACATTGATATAACCTCTGTTACTATGCCTTTCAAGTTTATTTTCCGTAAGGCAAAGAAAAATGGAATAAAACTCCCCAGGTTCAATTAGAAAGCCGACTTAATAAGATAGAAAAAGAGAGACCTTACTTAATGATTGGTTGTGGATTACTGTTATATCTCTTAATTATTTTAATCATTATAATAATTAAGATCAAGAAGAAAAAAATTAACCAGAAGCATTTAACAATTTTTATTTGATATAAAAATGGTTAAATATTGGCTTGGGTTTTTGAATTCGTCTCTAACAAATGGGCAGATATTATGACAAAAATACTCTTGTCTTTTGTAGTTCAAGGAGGAGGGGTTAGCACTAGGATGGAAAAGGATGGTGATTTCAAAAATGCTTGCTTTTCTAACTTTCAACATATAAGCACCATTAGCAACCAGCTGGGCTTTGACAACTCCAGGGTTAGCTGTTTTAAAGAGAAAAAGCTGGTACTTTTGCAAACCATTCAATTTTTTGAATAAAATTCCTAATACAGGATTAAGATCCAAATATTGAACACCTTTTCCATTTTTATAGCACTGACTTTGTTTAATCCAGATGTGCTTGATTTTTTCACAACCTCAACAATATGATCCACACAATCTATGTTGTTTGCAGTATCAGTATAGTTTCTTGATCAACCCAAAGCTACCATCACACTTGAATTTCATATGTCCAGGTACCATAAAATTCAATTCAATACTTTAATAATAACTGCAAATTACTAAATATTAATATAGGTAAAATCAAATAGTGGCCTTATTTTTATTCTGACCACCTGCATTATCACAAGTAATCTTTAAATTTTTTTGCCTTTATTCAATCTCTTAATTCCATTGAATACCATACTCAGTGAGCCATTAGTAATTAGGGCCTTTCCTATTATTTCATTCTCATCAAGAACATAATTAATTTGTTTGCATACTGCTTCATCTTGAATAATTACTGTAATGAGCAGTAGCATCAATGCTACAATAATCAGCTTTACCTCCTGTTATGGCGTAATTATCATCTACTAATTTCCTTTGCTGTTCCTCTAATTTAGCCTTAACTAAATGTTTATATTTTTTCAACAAATCTTTTGCTCTCCAGCATTCATATTTGACCCTTTATTTGCAACTGTGTCAAGGTAGTGAAATGCAAATCAAGCTCATGAATGCACTCAAACAGTTCTTTATCAAAAGTCAAAGACTGTAGAGAATGATTGATCAGTGGAGGCCTTGGCAGGAAACTTTTATGTTAAGTTTCCTTTCCTTATATTTCTTCTAACTTTCTTGGTTCATCATAAGTTGGCATTAATGTTTGTTTATTGTTTATTATTTTTCGTTCTTCTTGGTAAATTTCATAAGTAATTTTTTCTTTATCAAGATATTTCTGGAGAGTTTGGGTATTATTGATTTTAAAAACACATGGAGCAATTTTTTCTCCTGGCTCTTTCTTTAAAATACTTCTAATAGTGCTGTAATTCTTTGGTTCCATAGTGGGTCTGATATAGGTTAGTTCATATTTATATTTTTATATATTAAACATTGATAAATGTCAATTAGGTTGAGTGTCAGCGACTTTTTTGTGTACCATTAATATAGATTAATATTTAATTAAAAAAATGCAGTCCATAGATTTACACACAAAATGCCATTAGTCAAATTAGTCAACTTTCAGCCACACCAGCCTCTCATTTATTTCACATAATAGATAACAAGGTTATTTTTACAATTATCATATAACAAACAACTTGATTTGTAATGGTCTATGATTATTTCTAAAAAAACTAGTTCATAAAATAAAGTATTAAATATTTTTTTCATTACTTGTATAACTATTATATTAAAGTTTGAGTTACACTCCTGGAATTTAAGTGTGATATTTGTCAATCTGCTCATTCAAAACTTATTGCTCCTTTTGAGAATAGTTCTGACAAATTTTGTTTGGCTTGTTTTGCCTTTAGTAATATATTTAGTGAAATATTTTGCAAACCCTTTTGTTGTAACTTGCAACCTTCAAGTGAGAAAGTGGATCATAAATTCGAGTGTCCATGATGATTTTATCCAAATGGCCGTAACCGGAGAAAATTCTCTCAACGATACTACATCTGGGCGTGCTGGAAAAACTGTAAAGAGGCGGACGACATTCACAAAGAATTGGCCATTGCTGAGGGGACTAAAGCGCTATCCAAACGTACTATTTACCGCTGGATTTGAAGCATTCGAAGCGCACCCCGTTCTGGACGTCCCCGCGAAGCTGTTACACCTTCGAAGGTTAATATCGTTGAAGACCTTATAAGTAATGACCCTCATATCAGCATTGAGAATATTCAGGAAGTCATTCCCATCTCAACTGGAAGTATTGAAACCATCTTGCATAATGAACTTTCTGTCAAGAAAGTATGTGCAAAATGGTGCTTTCTGATGAGAATAAGCGAAAGAGAGTTGAGGTTTCCAACAATGGCTTTCAAAATATTATTACTGGGGATGAAACATGGTTTAACTTCTTCACAGTTTCATCTAAGAATGACAGCTCAGTCGGGGAGAAAACCGTCCCCAAGGCAAAAAAAACGGATGTTTTGCAAGTATCGTGGTAGAAAAAGGGGGAAATCAGGGGCAGAAGTATAGTAATAGTGCGTGATGTCATGTTGCATCAACGACAATGCTGCGCCACACAAGTCAAAAGTCGTCATATTGCTCTTTTTATTTCCAAAATCAAAAAAGAGCTCGCCCGTGCTATAAATTTAATAACTGATAAGAAGAGTATGCTGAGTGCATTCAGAGTTGGTGTAGACGGCTGAGACGTTGTATAGAGGTTAAAGGAGAGTATTTTAAAGGAATAAAATAGTTAGATTGATATTTATTACGTAAATAAAAATTTTATATGTCGTGTCAAAACTTTTTGAACCGCCCACGTAGAGCGATCCAGTGGAAATTTTCGGTGCCCGAGTAATGATGGTGGTGCGCTTCTGGTTGTTATTATATGGCTTATGAATGCCATATAGAACGATTCAGAGGCTATGCTGGAAATTTTCGGTGCCCCCTTCATTGCGATCCGCAAAATATTCTCGTTAGTACTTCGCCATTGAAAGATTTTGATACTTTTGCTATAATTTAGAGACATTCGCATCCCGTTATGAAGCTATTTTTCGAAAACATCATTATGGAACGGAAGAAGGTTTGCATGATCTCATATTATTGTACATTAAAAAGTGATTCCTTCATTATTGGTATGTATAATTCTAAAATTAATTGCGTATGGCGAACCGTGCAGCAACACTACAGGGGGGGGGGGGGACAAAAGTATTGCACACTCTAATATTTATGATATTGAAAAGGTTTTTTTATTAAACCAAAAAAAAAAATTTTTATTTACTTAAAGTAAACGTCAATAGTTAGTATTTCCTCCATTTACAGCAAATCACGGCTTGAATACGGTTGG